CAAACCTATTCTCAATGTAAAAAATTTCTAATTTCAATACTACACTACAACTATAAGGTTTAACATAATAATAATAATAATAATAATTTATTCATGTCAAAAAAAATTACAAAGAACAATTTACACACGTCAATAAAATACAGAAAAAACAAACATTCAAACAATGCACTAAATAAAATCTTACTAGCTAAATACTCAGGTAGGACAATATAATGAAAAATTGAAATCCATAAATTCATGATAAGTATAGAAACTGTTATCAATTAAAATTTTTTTAATTTCTCTTTTAAAATCTTTCAACCCATACTTTTAAAATGCTTTGGCAGAACATTGTATAGTTTTATGGCCCAATAGCCCGGTCCAGTCTGACACCTTCTCAGTCGCCAATATATGGGTGCAATGCACTCTCTATTCCTTGTAGTATAGTTATGTATGTTATCGTGCGCCACAAAACAATGCAAATTTTCCTTTATATAGAGCAGGTTCTGGAATATATAAATGGATGGCAATGTAAGTACGTTCATTCTTTTAAATACTGTTCTGCAGTCGTCTGCAAAATGTAGCCCCCCAATAAGCCTCAGAGCTTTTCGTTGCAAACGGAAAACCCGGGAAATACCGGGAGAGTGACCCCATGCAAGAATTGCGTCGGTTAAGTGGCTATGGAAAATTGAGAAATATGCAGTCATCAATACATCCGTCGACACTCTGGTCTTTAAACCACGCAATAAATACAAAACTTTAGACAACCTACTTGCGAGTGCGTCAATATGAGCACCCCATTGTAGTCGTGGCTCAAGATAAACTCCCAGAAATTTACAGGGTCTAATCTTGAATCTTTTATGTCTCTCATTGAAAAAATCATTCTGTTTGTTTTATCTTTATTCAAAAGTAATTTGTTAGCTTTAAACCAATCTTCTGCCACATCCTGAGAAAACATAGACGCTTCAATGGATGCTTCCAATGAAGAGCCTCGCACCAATATCGTCGTGTCGTCAGCAAAAAGAGTGTAGTTTGATTCATTGTAGCACTGTGGTAGATTATTAATGAAAATCAAAAAAAGAACGGGGCCCAAAACAGATCCCTGGGGCACGCCAATGTTTGTGCTTTTCTGATATCGCCCCAGAATATTGTACTGTCTGATATCTGTCTTCCAAATAAGACTTTATCAGGTTAATACTTCGTGTACAAAAATTGTAAGCTTTAAGTTTTTTCAAGAGAATCTCCAAATCTAAACAGTCAAATGCCTTACTTAAATCGCAAAAAAGGACTGCGCAATACTGACGATGATGAAAAGAATCTAATATTTCTGAAATTAAATTAAGGATTGCTAGTCCTGTGTTCTTTTTCTCTCTGAATCCAAACTGCAATTCGTTAAAAAGGTTATTGTCTTCAAAGTAGTTTATTATCTGTTTGGCTAAACATTTCTCAAATACCTTGGAAATTATTGGGAGCAAGGATTTAGGTCTATAGTTTTCCATCTCATCAGGATCATTTTTCTTATATATATGTATAACTATAGCTTCTTTTAATATGTATGGAAATATGCCGTCTTTGATACATAAATTAATTAATTTCGTTAACGGTACTAAAATATGATTTTTTACGGTTTTAATCAACTTTACATTTAAACCGAATATATCACGGCTATTTTTATTAGCTATATTGTCAATCACTTCACGGACATCGTTGAATGTAACTTCTCTAAAGATAAAACCATTATCGGGGACTCCAGGCAGCCGGCCCAAATTCTCAAAACGATCATCATGTACAATGGGAATACTTCTAATATCCGTTGCTATATTTGAAAAGTCATTTTTGAAGTCTTCTGCTGTTATTTTAGTTGTTTCAGCGGATATCTTATGTTTGCCAGAGTGCTTATTTATTATTTCCCACATACATTTTGCAGAATTTTTTGAACTACGCAGCCAGTTATCATTTACCGAGATTTTAGCCCTACTAATGGCTTCTCTATATTTTTTCTTATGAATTATATATGCTTGTTTAAAGTTGGGATTATACCGTCCAAACTGTTTATTTACATCATTGAGCCATGACAAACGGTCCCTCATTGCTTTGAGTTCTTCATTAAACCAACTATTTAAGCCGGGTTGGTCGGATCGTAAGTTATATTTTTTTCTGGAAATGAATTTAAGTAACATTCTTTTAAAATGCATATAAATCGATAAAATTTATCGTCAATATTTGTGTTCTTATCATTTATAAAATTCCAATCAATTTGAGCGACCTTATTATAAAGGATAAATAAGCCTCTTTGTGTTATTGGTCTACAAGTCCGCAATACCTGTGTAAACATAGCAGTACCAACATTCAAGACAAGGTCAATCTCCTGCGCCATGTGGTCCGATATATTGAAATCTATAACCTTAGAAGACAAAATCCTTGCGTCGGAGCTAACAAAAATATTATCGAGGCAAACATTATGTCGGGTTGAAGAATGTATAGTCTGTTTTAAATTGTAACTTACCAAAAGATCACACAGTTCTAGTGAGTTAACGTCTTGCGTGTTAAAATGAACATTGAAATCTCCAGCCATTACGACAGTTTTGCAAGCATACAGCGCACCGAGAACGCTCTCCACATTACCCATGAAGGTGTCAAACTGGCCGGACGGAGACCTATACAAAACTAATACATACATATTAAAATTTTCCACAAAAATACCTGAACATTCAAAGTGTTTCTCTATATTACAATCTATCACAATATCTAAAATATTCAAGTTCAGATTGTTTTTAATTAAAATTGCACAACCACCACCAGAAGATTCCCTTCTTGAATAAGATGCAACTAGCTTATATCCATCAACTTGGAAGAAGCCCATCTCTGATTCCGTCAACCAGTGTTCCGTAATACAGATAATGTCTATTGTCTCGTCAATCACATAAGCCTCAAGTTGTAAAGTTTTGTTCCTTACGAATCTTACATTTGTATGCATAAATTTTTAATTTTTAATTTTTGCTCTCTGCGTTGTCCTGTTGAGAAAGTATTTCCATTTTCTTGTTGATCACCATTCTTCGGCGCTGAAGATATGTTGAGGCTGGAGCATTTAGGTGAGGCTTTTATACTTCGCCTGTTACCTGAGGGTCTGTCGGTGTTGACTGCACCCTCTTCTTCATTAAAAAACGTGATACAATTGCCCCAGAGGGCCATATCTCACTTTTCCATGCATTCCTCAGATCATCCTGTCGTATAGTAACTTTCATGGAGCTGTATATCTCGGGATATCTGGAGGAATGTGCCTCGCATTGTACACCCGGGAAATTAGTGCTCAAGAGTCTCTGTAGTTCATCTGCAGTAGTTGTAGGCGACAGCCTAGTGACATGTAGATGGGTATATTTTGGGACTGTTTGGATTTGGATGCCAGTTGAAGTGGTATTTTTCCCTACGACAAATCTTCTTTTTCGTCTCCTCTGATATAGATTCCAGCCCGAGGAGGTTTCATTTTCTTTTCCCTTGTGCTGCGGTGATTGACCCAGCTGTATTATTTCGTTCAATTTATTTGTTGTTTGAGCTTGTAATATTCCCATGTTTATCTGATGTGATGTTACTTCTTCGACACTTTGCTGGGGATTTTGGATTTGCTTTTGACGAACAGCACGTCCATTTTTCGCCGCTTTAGTCATTTCAGCCCATGATGGGTCGGCTTCAGCCCTATTTATATTGTTTGGAATTTGGAATTTTCGGGTTGATTCTGTTTGGCTTTTTGTATTTTGATTTTGAGTTCTGATAATTTTGACATTATCAGCTGATGCTGACGTTGACATTTCTTGATTTTGACTTTGACACGATTCTTCAGGTACCATGTTGCCGGATTTCGAGTCGATTTTTTCCTTCAGTAATTTGATATTTTCATGCAGGATTACCTCTTTTGATTTTAATTGGCTAATTATTTCATCTTTGCTCGCTAAAACATCATCCTTGGCAGCAACTAGCTTTTTAAAAGCTTCAAATTCACTTTTATGTTCATATGGTGACTTAACCTCATTTCGACCCACGCAGCATTTCACTAGGTTATTCTTACCAATCGCAATCAACCCTGCCACCCTTAGGGCACACGATGTATGATAAACTCCCTCACAATCCACACACTTTGCTGTTGTAGTCGCGACTTCTTTTTTGCAATATTTACAGTTATTTCCCGACGCAGAATTCAGCTTCTCATCGCCGGCCATGTTGCCAACCAACATGGAAAAGGAATGCATAATACCGGCTTATTTTTATCCAGGAGTTCAAAACAAGGTTACAAATTGAACATAATTGGCGGAGTAAATTAAACAATACAGAATTACAATTTTGAGCACAGTAATTATTTGAAGGGTCCAGGGGAACAACATGATAAGCGCCATTTTACTAAAAAAAGGAGAATAAAGGAGAGCACTGGACGGCTGGAGGTCATCAGGTTCTTTCCGTGTATTCTATATTTTTACTAGGCGTATATTATAGGATTTAACAACTTATTGCCCTGCAGAGTTTATACATTTTGTAGGGGCCAGTTGGACCTACGATAATATTGTAAATTCCTAAAATTAAGAAATTGGCGCTTATCAAGTTTTTCCTCTAGACCCTTCATTTTATATCTGAAACGTATACCTAGATGAACGATTTCAAAATACTGTTAAACAAAAAGTAAGAAAGGAAGATAAACAATACGATTTTATTGTATATTGAATACCTTCTAACAATTTTTTTAATAAAACATAATTAATATGTGTTTTATTATCAAAATAATATATCATATTATTTAATTTTGGTTTGATTTGACGCTAGTGATAACAGCCGATAAATCTTTGAATTTCTTAAATTTATTGCCAACCAAACGAGCAAAATCAGAATAGCCAATATATCAATCATTGTTGATCGCTCCGTATATAGTATAGGTATTTCTGTGTGTTCTTTCATATCACTAAAATGACTTCAATCAAAATCATACCACCATCTATAAAAATGTGTGTTTAAGATACCAACTATTTCATTTCCAGCGGCAGCTAGCACATCAGCACAAACTACTCCGTCAACAACAAACACAAAAGATACTCAACCCGATGGCCTTTTAGCTAGCGATCGGTTTTCCGAGGTCGACGTAAAAGACTTAGTAACATTAGGTTTTTCTAGGGATCAGGTTCTTTTTGAACTTCGCCGTTTCAACGGAGACAAGACTCAAGCTACAGCGGCGCTATTCGCCAAGTCGCTCAAATTCTAGATATTTAGGTTTTCCTTTTTTATAAGAGTACCCCATAAACTGTATTTCGATTACGTAATACGATTTTTAAACTTCTACAGTGTCATAGATAAGGCGACATCATATGGTTTTTATTTAATGCCTTACAGCGCTTTCACATGCGACGGAGCGTCCGTGACCTCGAGTAAGTACCATGAGTTTATATGAACAATTTCACATGGGCGCGTATGCTCCGTCCGACGGAATTTGTTCGACGGCTATCTTGAAAAAACACGACGGACGGTCCGTCGCATGTGAAAACGCTGTTAGGTGAAACTTTGGCGTTCATTTTTTTTTGTTAATTTGGATTGGATTCAAAATTACGTAAAAATGAGTGTACAATTCTCACTTTTCAAAAAGATCTTTTCGAAGTTTCAACTTTCAGGTTATTACTTTATGTCAAATTTGACAGATAACCAAGTGTAACTCGAGCGAGTCGGAAAAGTAATAACTTGGCCATTGACATTTGTTAGTCATGAAAAGTTGATGTAAAATATTCAATTTTAACATCAAAATATTCAAAGCAATCAAATTCTCATTAAAACCCTGAGAAAAAAACAAACGAGAGAAAAACGAAAATAAAAACAGATAAAACACGCTTAACAAAACATTAACCTAATTCCATTGACGGTTAAGCCCTTACTGCTTTACAAGAGAAAAAACTTTTTTATTATTAACTTTTTGAGAAAAATGCATTCTTCATATAGGTTTTTGTTTGTTCCAAAAAGGCCAGTTCCATTTATCCTCTTTCAAATTTTCACTCAGTTTTAGAGAAAAGGAAGAATTTTAGAACAGTCAAAAATGTTAAAAAATTAATTCAAAAATTATTCTCAAAATGTTAATAATAAATTAATCTTGTTCAATTCGGTGACATACTGTATAATTTTTATCTAATTAAAAGCAAAAACCAAAATTAAATTAAAGGCATTACACCAAAGTTATATTTGACCTGTAAATCAATATCTCTGACACTGTATATACAGGGTGGTCCGAACCGGAAATAATAATTCCGGAAATGTCGGCAGCATATTTTACTAATAAAAATAAGTAAAAAAGTTCATATAAATGTAAGTCCTAAAATGCATAGTTTCGGAGATACAGGCTATAGAAGTTTTATTTTTATTTCTTTTTGTCCGTACCTGTATAAAGTTACTGAGTGAAAAAATATACATTTCCGTGATTTTCTACGTAAAAAATGTCTCTTGGTAAAAATCGCTACGAGCAACCGTTCTGAAGATATTTACAATAGAAATAGTCAATACATGTCATTATTCTAAAAATAAACATGTTGAGTAGATAGTTATTTGACTGAAATGAGAAATTTGGGAACTTTTTATTTTTTTTAAACTAATCATAAAGTTCTCTACGAAAAAATGATGATAAAACAGTTTATGTTGAAATTTTGGCACAAAAACATTTAAAATTTATGATTTTAGTCTAATAACTAACTAGTCAACATGTTTAATTTATGTCAATGATGACAGGTATTGGTAATGTCGATTCCAAATCTCTCGAGAACCATTACTCGTAGCGATTTTTACCAGGAGACCTTTTTTTACGTGAAAAACGTCGTATATGTATATTTTTTAACTAGCTAGTTTTATACAGGTACGGACGAAAAGTTATTACTCTTCAAATCATTTAAAAAATACGTAGGTGGCGCCCTCTACAAGTAGGAGCCATATTGACATCAAAATCAATTTTCTCATGTCAAAAACCTCCCGAACACCAATTTTCATCCAAATATTGACTTTACTTCAGAAATTATTTAGAAAAAATCGAAATAAAAATGAAACTTCTACACCCTGTATCTCCGAAACTAAGCATTTTAGGATATACATTTATATGAACTTTTTTACTTATTTTTATCTGCAGAACATGTTGCCGAAGTTTCCGGAATACAGTTCGGACCACCTTGTATATAATTTATACACTAAAATCCATATATTATAAAATGAAACTAGTTTTAAGTCTCATAATAATTATTTTATTAGACTATTTTAATTTATTGTTTTCTTTTTTGTAAAATAGTTTTATAAATGTCTTTTATTATTCAATTGTACCGTTTCTCAGGGAACAAAAAAATCGCTTGCCTTATTTTGAAATATTTATATTTATCAGGTTTATGGGATAATTTATCAGCACAGATTTTTATTGTAAAATGTATAGGTACAGTTTTTTGTTGGGTTGGTTTACAGAAAAATAAAGAAATATTTGATTTATCTGTTTTTGTTTAATTTATTGTTTTGCATGTAATTCATTATTTGTACTTCCTAACTAAACATTTATAAAATTAGAGATAAGTAAAAATAATTAATCATCATTATCATCTTCAGTCGAATTTTTCTTTAGACTCCCAAATACTTCAGAAGGTACAGCTTGTTTCTCAAGGGGTACTTCAACTTCGTCTTCTTCCTCCTCGTCATCATCGTCGATATCAATTTCATCTGGATTAACGACTTTATCTTTCTTGTCGCCTTGAGTTTCACCTCTCACAAACATTATATTACCTGGTCGGGAACTTATTCCTGATGTACCTAAAAATATAGAAAATAAACTTAGTGGTTCCCTTGCACGCGTTGTGTAAAATATAATGATTATTTATGATTACAAACACATTTTTAGCTAAAATATACAGGGTGTCCCAGTCCTGCATTTGATTTCTAGAGTAATAGTTAACAGTTTTTAATAAGTTTCTAGAGAACTATAATATCTAGATCGGAGATTTTTTGTACGTCATTGTCTTACAACGAGATATATCGATTAAAAATGTTTTCAATATGGCGACACTTCCGTAAATACCGGAAGTTGACAGCAACTTTCTTATATTACATAGGTCCCCCATTTTTTATTACATACTTGAATTATCTGTAAAATTTTATGAATTTTGATATCAAACACTATACCTAACATTAACCTTTAATTTAATTGAATAAAAGTTTTTGAGAAAAAATATATTTAAAATTTTTGGAGGAATATAACTGCCTGTCATAAAAATTTGAATAGCTTAAACGTCAACTTTAGTTATTACCACAACCAATGTGACATAAAGAGAACACATGTGGCTGTCTATTTCAAAAATTGGATTGTTCGAAAGTCATATAATATTGGCCGTAGTTGTCATGGAATTGAGCGATTAAAAAATGATCATCACTAAATTTGACGTTTAGGTTATACACATTTTTTTACAAGCAGTTTTTCGTCCCAAAATTTTTAAATATTTTTTTTTTCTCAAAAACGGTTGTGTTTGATATCAAAATTCATAAAATATTACGTAGAATTTAGGTATGTCTTAAAAAGGGGGGTACCCATTTAAAATAAGAAAATTGCTGTCAAGTTCCTATATTTACGGAAGTGCCGCCATATTGAAAATAATTTTAATCAATAGATCTCTTGTCAAACAATGATGGGCGAAAAATCTCCGATCTAGATATTGTGGTTCTCTAGAAACTTCTAATGCACGCTCATCCTGGGACACCCTGTATACCCATCGGGTCATCATAAAAGCGTGGTCTGGATTTGAATGTGTAAGACAATGATGTAGACAACTTAATAAATCACATGTATTAAAAAGAGATGAAAGTTGGGTTAATACGTTTCTCCTATGCGGTACTACCGGATTTTAAATAAAAATTTCAAACCGCCCACTATAGGCGTTTACGAAAAATGCTTAAGCACGTACGAACCGGCAATAAGTGTCTCTGTCTGCTAATCGGTCATTTATATTTATCTCTGTCGAATGCATTATTACATCAATGTAATCAAAATCAATGCATAGAAAATTTATCTGGGAAGTAAGCAAGGCTTGTAATCTTTGTATTTTATTAAAAAATAATCGGCTGATGAACTGCCCGCTGCAGGATTCGAATCCACAACCTTTAGATTGGTAGACGAGAAATGTACCTCTACGCTACCAGACATTACAATGATTTTTTTTCTATGTCATAAAAATACTCACCAGCACCAGCCATTTCTGCAGCTTTTGCTTCCAAAAGACGCATTCCATCTTTTTCACCTGGCGCAAGATCGGCCGTAGTTCCCGTTAATGACCCGGCAGAACTGAGCATTTGGGCAGACATCATGTTAACCTAAATAAAAATGATAATTGATAAGTTATTAATAATCATATATGTAAATGACACAAAATAATCACCTGTGTATTATACATCGCTTGAACGCTTCTCTTTATTCTTAACATTTCCCTCATTGTATCTTCATTGCCGTGTCTCACTTCAAACTCTTTCCAAGTTTGCCAAAATTCGACTGTTACCCTTGGATCGCAAATTTGACTACAATAGTCATAAATCGCTCTAGCCCTGTAAAGGTAAAATACAAAAGTGAATACAAACAAATATTTAATACTGCAGTTGTGATTTTAATAACTTGAGATATTCATCTGTTCTTATGTCTGGTAGCCTACCTGTTATACGCCGCACACACGGCAAAATGCTGTTGAGTTTGACAAAAATTGAAACTAAAAAAATTTTTTTTTTCGTATGTTCATCCACTCACTGTCGTTCTTATAAAATCTGTGGACCTAATTTTAAATATAATTTTTTCCGAGCAACTATAACGATGCAAGCGCTAACAAAAGTTGATGAAGTCCGCACGTTCTGGGGTGAGCGTTAGCCTTGCACAAACGTGGAGCGCAAAAGAGTGTCATTTACACCCAGCACATAGCCATTTGAAAATTAATTATCATTATGGACAATATAGCTACAGACATGTAGTACAATTAAATAACATCAATATAATAAATTTGAACTGTTTTGAATGTAGATAAAATATATTTTAAACACTCTATTATGGATTTATTTTTTTACAATTTTATTTTCATAATGAGTTATAGTAATGAGTTCCACGGAGTTCCGCTTTTTATTTAATAAAATTAAAATCACTAATGTATGTAGATACAGGTATAAAAAAATCAGCTTTCCCAAATTTAGCCTTTTTTGAAATAGCCCTTTATTGACAGGGAGTTGTACTGATTTCTATACCAGTTCTGTAATATCAAGAAAAGTTTTTTTTTGTTTGACGAAGACAGCTATTCTAAATTATGAATTTCTAAGTTTATTACAAGAGTTTTTTAATATATTATTGACAGTAGAATAAAAGTCAAATGGCTGTGCTGGGTGTAAATGACACTCTTGCGCTCCACGAAATATGCGAACTGCATCAATTTTCGGTAATGCTTGCACTACTCTAATTCAATGGAAAAAGTTATAATATTTAAAATTAGCCCTACAAATATAATAAGAAACACAATGTGTGGATAAACATACGAAAAAAAATAATCTGGATTTTTGTCAAGCTAAACATAACATTTTGCCGAGTGTGCGCCGGCGCCGGGCTGCATCTAAGAGAATTGGACATGTTTATTTTTATCAAAATTGCGAGTACCGCAACCGAATTTTTAAAAATTTTGGAAAAATATCCATGTTTGTATAACAATAACCTTGCTGAATATGCAAGAATTAGTGGAATGAGGTGGCGAATGAAATCTACACCTGATAGTAATCTTTCTATGTAAGGATGCGTCCAATATAATCGTCTTCTGCGATGTCGGATATAGTAGTAACGCAAAATAACGTCTTCTTCGTTGAGCAACAGGTCCCAATTATATAAAAACGTACGCTTGCTATACACTTCCTGAACAACAGTTTAATACGGCTTATTTTGTAGCGTATATGAAGCTACGCCTCTGTGGACCTAGTAATGATTTCCTTAACAGCTCAAAAGCATTTTAGGTATTTATGACAATAAATAAACTGTTTTTTATTACTTTAGAACAGAAAAAAATCGCAGATTTACAAAATTCGAAAAATTCGAAAATTGACAATTTTTCTCTACCAAATTTACTAAAAATTATTACTTCAAAAAATTTCAAATTATTATTTCACATACACAGGGAAAAAATTTACTTAACATTAGCAAAGTAGATTGACTTAGAAATTACTACTATTAAATTATTTAAATTATTACTTTTGTACATGGAATTAAAAAAGCTTCAGAAGATAATATTTGTATACCAATTTCATGAAGTTAGTTATTTTTAGTAAACTGGAAGAGTATAAAATTATATTAAACAAAAAAATCTTTAATTTAAGCTAATGTACAGACTTTGAACTAAGCTTAATTTTGCTAGATATTAAGCTTAGTTCAGTATAAAATTGGGTCTGTTTAGTCAAATGCTCTACCTGTCAATTTCGCCAAGTTTTGTCTCCATGTCAGCAAACCTTAAACACATTTCTCTCGTTTTATCGTCAGGCAGAACTTCAATGGCTTTTTTATAAATTTCTCGAGTTTTAGGTATTCCATATATATCAGCCGCTTGTTTAATATAAATATTAAATACTTCAAACATTTCTTTTTCTGGAACCTTAAACACATATTAATAAAATAACTGAAGACTACACTACTTGTATTTTAGTAGTTAGAAGAATAACTTAACTAAAGGATTTTCAGAATATTAATTTTATTTTATAAATATTAAAATAATAATAAAACCAAGAACAGTTGTATTTACATAGAAAATTTACTTACAGCTTTTGTTGCTCGTTCATACACAGCCATAGCATGTCTGGCCATTCCATGCTCCTCCTCTAACTTAGCATATAATAGATATAAATTTTTTGCAAATTGTGTTGGACATTTTTCTAAACATTGTTCAAACAAATCCCTTGCTCTCTCCAGCTTGGATCCACCATATCTTTTCAAAAATTTTGATAAATAAGTATTCCAAATGTCATATACGTTGGGCCATTTAAATAATGAAATTCCCTTTTCATAGGCACGGAAAGCCTCTTCAAAATAGTTATTCTCTTCCAAAAATACACCATAATTAATAATGATTTGCGGAGTGGCAATTCTTAAGTCAATTATACGATCGTATACTGCTTTACAGGATTTAAATGTACCGAAACTTTCTTCTAAGTCAGCATACATAGACCAAACTTTTAAAGACTTATACAGTCTATCTTGAACCCGCTCCGTATCGTCATGATATGCAACCTTGCGTGCGGGCATAGTTGTTGCCCTATGCATCAGTTTTAACGCGTCTTCGTAGTTTTCATTCCTACAAATAAATCCAATATATTTTAAGTTCCATAAAAAAATAGACTAAGATATATTATAAAAAATCTCATAGGGTAATAAAATTATTGAGATGAGTTTATCAGTTTTAGATTTGTTATTTTACAAATACTCACTTACCCAAATGTTATTATTTTTAATTTGGCTAGAACTATTATGATGCTACTATATTTCATATCAATTAAACTTTTAGTTCCGTAATCGAGAGCGCGATTTTTAAATTCACTGTTGCCAACCATGGACATATGCGGCGCCGTGCTGACTAACAGGAATTTAAATTTCGCGCTGGAGATTTAGGTGGTAGCTCTGCTATAAAAAATGTCAAATTGTCATTCGTTCGACACTTTAGTTTTTTATTACGAGTTTTTGGTTTAAATAAATAATGCTGTGATACTTTAAGCTTGAAAATGCTTACTAGCAAACCTTGCAATGGAACATTTTCTTTTAGAACCACTTTTAGTGCGAAGTGTACAAGATAGCTTAATAGCCGTAAAAAAGTCATCGCTTGGCTCTGGCTAATGGCTCTTTATGTCCCTTAAGTGCTGTTAAGAAGGTGAGTTTTGTTGATGTAAATACTAACTGTTTATATATTTATAATTTATTTATTACTGTTTCCTAAAATATTTTGATTAAAAGAAAATATATAAAAGTGGGCAACATATATTAATTAAACTGTTGTTACGAGTCGTTAGCATATAGCCCGACAACTGTCAAGCTACTTCGAGACATCAATCAGATTCAGATAGATCACCCGAAGTTAAGCGATGTTTAACAGTATTGTTATTTGGACGTGTGGTCGCCTGGAATCTCCGCCGTTCTATTATTCCAAGGCAAATGTGTACTGTGTAAAGTCTATTTCTGTGTAAAGTCTTTTTGCTCTATGTTTTATCTCGTCAATTTAAACTAAATTTTCTACAATTAACAAACCTTATTTCCATTTCTGCCCACTCACACCAAACAGAAGCTAGATCATCAACTTTAATGAAAGGTACCTCAGTAGCTTTTTCAAAAATAATTCGAGCATCATCAACTTGTCCATTTTTTTCATAAAACTTGGCAAATTCTACCCATAACGTATGCAACTTTCCCACAGCTAATTTAGGCTCTACAGTTTGTACAGCTTCAGTATAAGTATTTATTATTTCATGAGGCTTTCCTAAAAACATTGATTTTGGTTTGGTTATTACATATTAACTTAATAATAACAATCAAGAAGATAGTCATGGCAAGAATATGGATAATTTCTTAAAGTAAAATTACCTTCATATAACTGAACTCGCTTATGCCACTCTTGAACATTATGTGGATTTTGCCTCAAAAGTACTGAATTTAATAATAATAATCTACGTTCCATTAAATGTTCAAACCTAGCCAGTTTCAAATCTAAATCAAGGTTTTCTTCTTCTGTTGGTTTGGTCATTTTTGAAACTTCCTCCATTCTCTTACTTAAACTAAGTTCTTCAAATTGCGCATATGCATCAAAAACTTGAGTAAAATCTCGAACTGTTGTGACTGTTTGGATAGCTTCTTCATATATGTCTCTTGCTCTATCAAAAAGACCACTTCTAACATAATAATTTGCAAGAGAATTCCATAAGTGTCCTAACTGATCAGTATACCTTCTCAAACCACCTTTAAAGATAAAAGTATATTTAATTATATATATTATAAATACCTAAATACCGTATTATCGCAAAAAAAACGGTGTCCAGTTGGCTTGGTTGGAAATTTCCCATATAATTTTACATATGAAATTTGACAGCGACCTTCATTTCATAGCCATCGCTGACGCAGTTTTTTTTTCGATCGTATGGTATATGCAATAGACAGATAGATATTATTCAAGTTAAGATTACAATAAAACAGTAATATACATATTATGTAAAAAATAAGCAAAATGTAAGTGTAAAATACAGGGTGTCCCAATATTCCGTAGACATAGTACTACGTATTTTTGGAATCTAAATAAGTTCATTGGACACAATTTACTTCTATACAAACGTGCTTCGTTTGTCCGCTAGAGGGTATCAAACTTAAAAAAAAACAAACACATTTTTTCAGATATTTTAAGAATCGTTATTCCGATTTGAATGAGATTTTGGGTGTCTGGCTCTCATAGGAAATTGACTCTCCTGCGATTGGCTCTCATAGGAAACTGAGACTGCGATTTAGGCAACCAATATTACTATAGTTGCGAGTTGCGATTTTGTTACGATTTGCGATTTTGCGGCGATTGTGATTTTGTAACTAGGACCGTGATAACCTTCTATCTGCGAGTTTGAATTTTTAGGAGTTGCGGTTTGCGATTTTGTTGCGAATGTAATTTTGTGGTCCATTGAAGCATTTTATGACTATAAAATGCTTCATCGCCGTTGACTACCTGCGGTTGAATATTTTTTCTGATTTTATTGATTTATAGAGAAGGTATTATTTTCTAGGGCTAAGATTATAATATACTGGGTGTAAGAGTGGTTTACCCCTGTAAGTTTCTTATTTTTTCTGATAAAAAAAAATGAAATTTGGTATGTTAGCATAAGACATAAATTAGAATTGATTGAGGTATTCAATTCGTTTCAATTACTTCCTGTTTCACCGGAAATGACTACAACTTTTTTGATTTTAAAATGGAACCCTCGGTATTTTTTTACTTTATTCGATGAAAATGACACTCTGAATAGAATGGCATATAATATGTCAACTTTTGACATTTACGCTTAAAAAAATCGTATTTTAAATTTCAATCTAGAGTACCATGGCTGTGTCAAAAATCAAGGATCCTTGGAAAAAAAGTAATTGTATATTGTTTTTCGTGTGTTGTCCTGGCTTAAAAGATGCCCAAAGCATATTTTTAATCATATCTTAATGTTTTCAAATGGAACAAAGGTGGCTCATTAGCATATTTAGAAAAGCATTTTTTACGAATAATATGGTACACAATTGGTATTTCGAGTCAGTCAGATGTAAAAAAACTTAAAAACTAAACAACTGATTTTTATTAACTCTTTTTAATTGTTAAGCTATAGGTACATACTGGTACATACTGGAACATACCTATTTAAATATTAAAATCGCAATTGCAGGTTACAGTCGCAGAGATTTAAAAATCGCAATCGCAGTTTCAATTGCGATTGGGGAATCGCAGTTTTGCTCATCTCTATTATTTACTACTATTACTATATTTTTTATCTCTTATACAAAAACGCCACATCGCATAATTTTTGAGTACAGGGAGTTCCAATATTCCGTGGATATATGTACATAGGACAACTACGTATTTTTTTAATTGAAATAAGTTAATTGCATATAATTTACCTTTATAAAAAAGTGCTTTGCTTGCCTGTTAGAGGCATCAATCAAAATTAAACCCAATGTTAATAAATTTAAAATTTATTAAATTTTTAGTCTTTTTTTGAGGCTTATTGCCAAATATATTATAGTTTATATTATTAGTGATACTACCATGAAATTCCATATTTTCGCCAACTAGATTATGAAGAGCATAATGGATTTTATGCGGCTCGCGGCTCCATAACTTGATGTGACAAAGAACATTTTTGGAAGTCAGCTTCAGAAAAATAATGTTTTTCCTCAAAAAGTATGCGCGGTGGCGTTTTTAACAAGAGACAAAAAATGTAGTATATACTAAAAGGACCATTTTACGAAAAAGAAAAAAATCGGTCGTCGGTCGAGTTGGAAAATATTTATAATAAAATTTATGTAGGAGTGGGGGTATTTTTCACCTTTCCCGTTCCTTTTCTTGATTTTTGTGAAAATGATATGTTAAAGCACTTAGCAAAATATAGACACCCAAAATCTCATTAAAATCAGAATAACAGTACTTGAAATATCTGAAAATATGTGTTTATTTTTTTAAAGTTTGATGCCCTCTAATGGATAAAGCACTTTTGTATAGTCTGTATTGTGTCTAATGAACTTATTTTGATTCCAAAAATACTTAGTAGTTCTATGTCTACGGAATATTGGGACACCCTGTATAAGAGAAAATGTGTGGATAGAACAGAGAAAAAAATGTTCAATTAGTTAATTTTAAAAATTCTATAGCCTTACCTCTAATAATAGCATCAACATTTAAAGACTGCACTTTATCAGGATTATTTGAAATTAACTCGCACAATTCATTCCAAAGTTGATGCTTTGATTTCCCATATTGGGATACAAAATTTTCATCGTTCACTATCTTTCCTAAAGTAATTGCTGCTTCGTCTAATCTCCCAACACTATTTAAATAATCTACATATTCTTCAGCATTTTCAGGTGATAATTTTAAGTACCTTCTAAAAACTCTAACTGCCGTTTCAGATATATCATGTTTTTTTACAAAACCTAAATATAAAGGCCAGATACGATGGTGCTGTGTAACTGGCAAAGCTCTTAACGCTCTATCAAACACTTTCCTAGTTCTAGTTATTTTGAATTGATCAGTTAGAAAAGTACAATAATCCATCCATATCCTTGGCATTTTGTGCATGAAAACTAAAGATCTCTCGAAGGCATTATTTACTTCTTCATATCCTGGATGTGTTATACACTTGTTCTTAACTTGCTGTCTTCTAGTTCTTAAATAGTTGTACCAAAGTTTATAAGAACCAGGAAGTTCTTTTAAAGCTCGCTCGTATATTAAATTAACACCATGTTTAGGTGCCTTTTTCTTATGTTCTATATAGCGAAGCCAATGTTTCACTGAATAAGGATTTCGCAGTATTTCTTCCTCATAAGGCAAATCTTCTTCAGTCTACATTTAAGAAATATTAATTTATTTGTAATTTTTTTCAATATCGCACAAAAAAAATAAATATAAATAATCAACAGAATGCACTAGTTGCCACTATACTGGCCTGTATTATAATGAGTAAGACAAAGATAATAGTACCTAACTTATGTTATTACCAGTAATTCTATGTGCTGTGGGCAAATTAAGGATTTAGATGTAAATTTTGAGTTAATTGTGTACACTAACTGAATAAAAAATATAATTTGAGGTATTAGAACTGAACCAAAAAGCCTGAACCCTTGCTTCAATATTATTCTCTTCACTTAGATTTATTTTCTTTACGAATCATATTGGCCCACTTTTTGCCTCTTTTTCGTGTTTGAATTTTGATTAAGACATGACCATCATGGGTCTTACAGATTAAAATCCAGATCACCAATTTAAGGTGATGAAAAATGAAATTAAAAAAGTTTTCAACATTTTACACAACAAACGATTAAAGTATTTTAAGACAGTTTTTTTTTTCAAATTTGAGTTGTTAAATTTGAGATATATTTATATTTTAGTAGAATTGAATATAGTGCTATTAATGTAATAATTTCAATACAATTAATTTCCCATTTAATAATATTAATAATTACTCAATACTACACTACTCAAAATAATTATCGCTTAATTTTAAAGGTGTCTTGTTTTTCAAATTAATATTTTTATTTTAAAAATATGCGATAATTGTTTGAGTAGAAGTTGCTAATTAAGAAGTTGAGTAAAAGTTGCTAATTGCTAAATTAACGAACTTACAAACACAATATCCATAGGAACATCTTTGTTTGCTTCTTTCATAGGCATACTTAATATGGAAAAGAGCAATTAGATAGTAAATCGGCAGGTCAGCCTAGAATCTTGTCCGTAGAGGGAGAGTCTTGTACTTTGAACTGTTTGTAAACAAAATATAAAAAGCACAGTGTAGTTTTGGATTACCGGTTAGTTCAGAGACACCGGTTTCTTAATGGATTCTGGATAAAATGCATAATTATTCTTCTATGAGCTATTTTATTTATTCAAATCTATACATGTATAAACTATTCAAATAGAAATTTATAAAAAAAACGAGAAACAGTACAAAACTTGACAAAACGGCATATATATATAACCTAACTATCACAAATTAAACAAATACAGCTGATAGCAGACATATTGGCAATTTTTGCAATTGGCATTGGCATTGGCCCACAGATAGAAATTGAAATTAAAAACATTAGCCATAGAAAATAAGTATAAAAGCCTTGGTTTCTATCACGGATAGCCGTGTAAAGATCTCTAAAGCAGAGAATCTCTAAAGTATGAAATGAACCAAGTATGAACCCTTGGTATGAATTGTGTAAAAATATAGCCTTTTTTACGTCTCTTTGATACATGCTTTGATACTATTAGTTATATATCTTCTGTGGGATATTTTTTCTATGATTGATAAAATCATATATTATAATTCACAGATGATGTTCATATATAATATCGGGAAAATTGAAAATGATTGAAAATTGCAATGTTTTTACTTGGTTTTTTACAGGTTAACTTTAACACAGACACACAGACACAGACTTGTCTTGTGAAATATTTGTTTCTAGTTCCTACTTTCTTATAAACGTTTAAAAAGAAACAATTAATACCAGTACAGTAATTACTGAAGAATTTATTTAGCAGATTATTAGGTCATAACGGAATATGGCTGAGGAAGAGAAACTTGACTGGATTTATAAAAGTGCAAACAGTTTAGTTAGCCGTGAAGAATACTTATTAGGGAGAAAAGTTGATAAAACATTAGATGAACTTAATAAAGAAGAAAAAGAAAAGAAAATCGTCTTACCTACCCCAAAAAATCACGTTGAACATGAATGTATTCCACCATCAATTCGTGATTTCAATAAAATTGTCCAATCTGAACAGGTAACCTCCTAAGATATACATATTTAACTTTAAAAAGGTACTTTAGAATTGCTATTTTGCAAGTTGTTCTAGTTTGTAATGCTGGTTGTTTTCTTAAACAGTATCTATACCGTTTGGTTGAAAAAAACAATGTCATTTTGTGTGTAAAATTTGACGCTTTTGTTCATACAATCAGAGATACAATCGTCATATCTTTTTATTTTATCAGTAATTCATTGAGTAAAATACATTTCAGGTTGACTTATCTGCAAAACTTCAAGAAGATCCATTAGTAGCTATAAGGAAACGAGAAGAAGAAGCAAGAAGAAAATTTTTACAAAATCCTGTGCAACTGAAAAAACTACAGGATGCATTAAAAGAACAAGAAAAGACAAAGAAGAATAAAAAGTCACAGAAGGAAAGAGATTTAGATCAGAAGCTTAAAGAAAAATTGAGATTATATGGTAAATCTCCTGCAAGCAAAAAGGGAAAGACCAAAGTTAAAGATGAGGCATTAAATACAATCTTAATGCATAAATTTAATGCATTAAAGAGCAAGTTATCAGATAGTGATTTAAATGATATTTTGAATGGGAAAACTAGCAGTAGTAGCAGCAGTGATAGTAGTAATGAGTCTGATAAAGATAAAAAAGGCAAAAGAAAAAAATATAAATCATCTAGTGATTCTGATGATAACAGGAAAAAAATAAAAATTAAGCCAGATGAAAGAAAACAAAAATTAAGAAATAGATATAACAGAAGCAGAGATAAGTCTACCAGGTAAAGTATCCACAATAAGTAAAATATTTCTTTTGTTTCCTATTAAGTCTAACAATCATATAAAAAATTGAATTATATTTTTTTATAGAGATACTGGAAGAGAAAGGTATTCTGAATCAAAGAAGAGATATAAGAAGAGGAGCAAGTCAAGAAGTAACTCTAGAAATAGACACATAAGAAAAGGCAGAAGAGATGATAGTGATAGTAGTTCAGAATATGAAAAAAGTAGACGAAGTGTTCATGGAAGTAGTAATAGCAAACAAAAAAAGAATAGAAGACATTCAAGTGAAAGTTCTGAAGATGAGAAGTCAGCTTATCTTAAGTCAAACAAAAGTAATGATGACCTTGATGAAAAAATATTAAGAAAACTTAGAATGCTTAGAGATGCTGCTGAAATCTCTAATGAAAGAATGATTTGTGATAGAGATGAAAGTAATTGTAAAATACAAAAGAATGCCAATTCATCTGGTTCAGATAATGACAACTCAAAAATATCAAATAAGCGACTATTGTTACCAGAAAAACCTAGTCATTTAAAATATCAAAACGAATCTAATGATAGTTCGAGTTCTGAAAGTTCAAAAGCATACCATGATTCCGAAGAAGACAAAAAAGAAAAAAAGAATTATGGTTTAGTATCCTCAGATGGAAAAAAACTTGCTTTAAAAAAGAACCAGAAAAGCAACATCGCTGAAATCCAGCCAGTTAAAACACAAGTTGTAAAAGTTACAACTGAGAGAAAAAATGTGAAGAAATTAACAGATAAAGAAAAAGAAAAAATAAGGAATGAAATGATGCAAAATGCAGAAGTTAGGGATAGAGAAAGGGAAGAAAATGTGAGGAAATATAGAGAAAAGGATAAGGCAGAGGAAAGTGTCAGTACAAAATTCGATACTGACCTAATTCATAATCAGCTTTTAAAATCAGCAAAACACTCATCAATTGAAGATAGAATTAAGTCAAATTTGAACAATATACAAAGATCCGCGAGACATATGGATTCAAATTTTTCAAAGAGATGACGTTATTAAAGTTTTTCTTATATTTTATAATATTGGAAGTGGTACTGCACAAATTGTTCATTTCTCAACTAATGCTATTTGTCTTTATTAAGAACAATTATGTGACACATTCAAAGTTAAATATATGATATCTGAGTACTTCAGGAGCAACAATTAACCAACAATTTTTAAATATTATGTTATATATTTATTACAATATATTAAATAATTTATTTTATAATTTTGTTTTATTTATTGACATTTACCTGTTAAGCAGGTATTTATGTAACAAACGATCAAACAAACAACAAAAATCGATTTTTCGATTACTGCGATTTTATAAAATTTTATAGAAAATTTAAATACAGGGTGATTTTCCTACGATGTTCTCTATGGGTATCTCGGAAACTACTGGAGATAGAGAGTCGGTTAAATGAGGAAAGAATTGCAGTTTTGTGGGGTCATAAGTATGCGCCTTTCAGATTTTTGAAAAAGTTCATGGCTTACTAGATATTTCGAAAAAACAAATTTCGGCTATTTTAAAAATTGTCCCTAATTCTCTATTATAATAGAGAACGTCGTAGGAAACTCACCCTGTATATAATAAAAAATTGAAGTACCCATTTAAAATAAGAAAAATTTGCTTCAAATTGCCTCACATTAAATTATCAACTTCCAGTAATATTGTACTGTTATATCAGCTGGTTTTAATCCGGATAGATCTCGTGCAAAAAATCTCCGATCTACATATTGTAGTTCTTTAGACACTTCTAATGCACGCTCAGCCTGGGATACCATATACATGGTGTCCCAGGCTGAGCGTACATTAGAAATTTCTAGAGAACCACTATATCTAGATCGGAGATTTTTTGCACATCACTGCTTTACAACGAGATCTATCGATTAAAAATATTTTCAATATGGCGACACTTCCTGAAATACCGGAAGTTGACAACAACTTTCTTATTTTAAATGGGTGCCCCCATTTTTTATTATACATACCTACTTAAATTCTCTGTAAGATTCTATGAATATTGATGTTAAAAAACTCTATACCTAACATTTACCGTTTTTGAGAAAAAAAATATTTAAATTTTTTGGATGAAAAAAAAACTATCTGTCAAAAAAATTTGTATAGCCTAAAAGGCAAATTTAGTAATTACCACAGCAGCCATTGTGACATAAAGAGAAGACATGTGGCTATTTATTTCAGAAAATAAATTGTTCAAATGTCATATAATAATGGCGGTAGCTGCCATGGAATTGAGCGATTAAAAAATTATCATAAATCATTTTTTTCAAATGGAAACCCACTTTTTTTATTTTACTAATGAAAAGGTTTTTCAATTTGTTACTTTTTGACTATGTTCCTATACCTAAAATAAATTGTTTTTAAGTTATTTAGAATTTAATTTGAAAAAGTATATTTTTCTTGATTTTATCTAGCTTCCTTTGACATTAAGTGTCAAACGGTCAGACAATTTATTTCCATCTGTCAGAAAACGGATTATTTGAATTTCCTATATTATAAATACTGCCTACCTTAAGAGTTTAAAAAGTGTATTTATTTATTTTTTTTTTTTAATAAATAGTCACATGTTTTCTCTTTATGGCACAGTGGCTGTGGCAATTACTAAATTTGACATTTAGGCATACACATTTGTCAGGCAGTTTTTTTTCGTTCAAAAATTTTAATTTTTTTTTTCTCAAAAACGGTCAATGTTAGATACAGAGTGTTAATATCAAAACTCATAAAATTTTAAAGAGAATTTAAGTATGTAATAAAAAATGAGGGCACCTATTTAAAATAAGAAAATTGTTGTCAACTTCCGGTATTTCCGGAAGTGCGGCCATATTGAAAATAATTTTAATCGATAGATCTCGTTGTGAAACTATGATGTGCAAAAAATCTCCGAGCTAGATGTTGTATAGTTCTCTAATAACTTCTAATGCACGCTCAGCCTGGGACACCCTGTATACTAAAACCAGAATATACACCTGTAGAAAGACATGAGAGATAGTCTTAATTTTGTCAACCCTGTAACTCTTAAAAGTTTAGACCTATGAAAAAAATGTATTCAACTAATTTTGTAAAGAATTTTCTGGGCTTCAATTTTTTATACAGGGTGAGTTTCCTACGATGTTCTTTATGGGTATCTCGGAAACTACTGGAGATAGAGAGTCGGTTAAATGGGAAAAAAATTGCAGTTTTGTGGGTCATAAACATGCGCCTTTCAGATTTTTGAAAAAGTTCATGGCTTACTAGATATTTCGAAAAAAACAAATTTCCGCTATTCCAAAAATTGTCCCTAATTCCATTATAATCTATTTTAGACAAAAAGTTTTCAGATAAAAGAAGATAATCACATCGTTAATGAGATTTATGGATGAGATTGTGTCCTCCGTTTTTTTCTGAAGCCTGTCATTTTTGGCATATGACACAAACATATGTCTTTTTAAATGGAAACCAAGAAACCATAGTTGACCATGACTTCATTAACAGCGCCATTTTTTAAGCTTTTTAGTGATATAAGCTATAATATGTTTCTATAATATGTTCACAATTCTTATCATTTTTAAACAATTTCACTTAGTTACCCATGGAAACAAGTTCAATCGTCGCGTCGTTGCTCTCAGAAAGGTCAAACTGTCATATGCAAACTTTGTATGTCAACTTTTCTTGGCCATATATTTTCGAGGATACGTTGACCCAATGACGTTGATCGGTGAACGTTATTTACGTTTTTTAGAAAAGTTAAATTTAGATACTCCTCAATAGAGTGCATCAATAGTTGAGTGGTTCCAACATGACTTTCATTATGACACACCCCCTCATAATGAAAGAAATGCTAAAAATTATTTATATCATAATTATGCAAACTCAGGGATAGGAATAAGTGGACCAATTGCATGGGCCTCCTCGATCACGTGACCTATCAATTTTAGATTTTTTTTTTATGCGGTATTGTTGACAACAAGTATGGAGGGCTTTTTTAGCCTCCATAACAACAAGATTTACAAAAGTTATGAATTAAGAGAGGCACCCGAAGAGGCGGTGCGGGAGAATTTCATTAAAGTCGACCGGCCTTTCTGTGTGAAAAGCTTGTAATCACTTGTAATTCAGTTTTAGAAAGATGCATTTTATGTACTCAAAACAATGGCGGTTTTTTTGAACACTTGCTAAAATAACTTAAAGTGTATGTAGTGATATTAGTTTTTTAAGTTTTAGTTTGTGTAATGTAAATTGAACAGAACCGTTTAATAAAATATTCTGTCTTTTTATAAGTTATAAATCATAACAGAATAAGAATACCATGCCAACTAAGTGAAATTAGTCGAGAAAGATAAGGAATGGCTACAACTGAGTAATTTTTCGAAAAAAAAACATATTATAACTTATATCGCTGAAAAGCTTAAAAATGGCGCTTTTTATGAAGTTATGGCCAACTATGGTTTCCATTTAAAAAAAAACATATGTTTGTATCATATATCAAAAATGACAGGCTTTAGAAAAAATCGGAGAACACAAACTCATTAGGGATTTGATTATCTACAACTTTTATCTGAAAACTTTTTGTCTAAAATACATTATAATGGAATTAGGAACAATTTTTAAAATAGCCCAAATTTGTTTACTTCGAAATATCTAGTAAGCCATAAACTTTTTCAAAAATCTGAAAGGCGCATATTTATGACCCCACAAAACTGCAATTCTTTCCCCATTTAAACGACGCTCTATCTCCAGTAGTCTCCAAGATATCCATAGAGGAGATCGTAGGAAACTCGCCCTGTATAGAGTATTTTTTTGTATGTGTCATATTTTCCGAGATATAAGCTAAAAAGTCATAAAAGTGGCATTTAACCACACCCCTCTCCTCGAGCTCATCGTCTATCTTCGAGGACTTTTGACACATATCGGCCCAAGTTTAGAAAAACCATTTTTAAAACTGGGATTTTTTTCCACCGATTTGTCTAATATGACTGGGGTATTATTTGTTGTTTTACTAATATCTCTAAATATTTAATAAAAATACTCAATAAATAAAATTTGGTATATTTAGAATCATAAACAGTCTTTTAAATAATCAGTACAGTCGCAATGTGTTTTCTCCGTTTTAAGATCGCATAAATCATCAGCGCTTCTTGCGCATTTATCTTCATCTTCAAATTTTACAGTTTTTTGTTTAATTTTACATGCTCCTGATGGTATATCTGGCGGACTAACCCTTAACAACCTATTTTTATCTTGGCGATCGTCAGTTAACTTGTCTTTACTTGGGGAATCTGTGCATTCAATTGGATATCTACCATCGCAAACCTGTTGCTGATCTTTTAGGACCCCGGCATAGTACTTTTCAATCACTTCTTCTGGAGTATCAATATGTTTTGGAGTATATAACGCATATTTTCCTTAAAAACGAAAAAGATATATTAAAATTATTATGTACCTACATAACTATAATTTTTCTTACCCTCTATGTCCTCGGAGCAAGTCAAGTCTTTTGGTTCCCCTGTATATATAGGATACGCGCAAGTTTTATTAACTGGTAAAATTCCATATGGAGGCACCTTATATGTATGTTTAATGGAATCTTCGTATTCTTGCAAAATTTTTTCATGTTTCTGTTTGTCTGCTTCACTCTCTATGTCTCCCCCACCAACATTAAAATCTTTCAGGCATTTATCAAAGTCAGTTATTTTCTGTTCGTCTATTTAAAGATTAAAAAAATATATTAATAATTATACTTCTTCCAATTTATATATTATTTGAACAGCCCAGCCAAATTACGACCACCATTATTTACCACCATTAAAGCAACAAATTATAATTATTTGAAAAATGCTAGTAAGTAGTTCAAACCACCTAAGGAGACTATAATCTTTGATATATCTCTACTTAGGCATAATGTCAAATATACAGTTCAATTTATCACTTTGCACGTAATCAATATACCTATACATCAACAATCAGATACCTAAGATTTTATTAGACCTCGAAATATTTGGGGATTAATTATTATTTAAGGGATGTTGGCTAAAACTGCTCTTTATAATATCCTACTTAACGAAAATAATATAAACCGCGCTGGCAACTCTTACTTTTGGGTCGGTATTTACATGTTACATCTTATTAAGTTGGGGTGAGAAAAATGTTACGGTGGGCTGTTGCGGCGTTGCCACATTTCTCAGAGATACAAGTACGCCTTTCATTGTCTAGAGGAGTAAAATCATGGTAAATAGAACCTAACCAACCATACAGTGGAAGAGTTTTCAAGTGCACCAAGTTTACATATGTTAATAAGATGTTCACGTTTTTTTACGAATGATGTTTTTATATACAATATAGCAAAATTTGAAAATAAAAAAATTCTTCTAACAAATCCTTGTTAATGGTTTGCTTGGTAAAGCATAGTTTGGCGTATATTAAAAAATCCATGATTCTGTACCTTAAGACATTGCTTTTGAAAACATGTTTTTTATAATTTTATATGTTAGGATGCACACCTGTTTTGCTGAACAAAATTTATGTCGCCGATCTTTAAATTATTTTCTTTAGCTTTAGACACACATATATATTCAATTGTAACATTTTTGCAACATCAGTTCCACATACAGTATGTCCCCGAATTGTCTACAAAAGGAAAAACTTTTTTATTATTAACATTTTGAGAAAAATGAATTCTTTATAAAAAAATGTGCTTGTTCTAAAACTATTAATCCCGTAATTTAAAAAATTTCCAAACCGTTTTAGAGAAAAAAAATGCAAATATAGTTTTGCAAAAATAATTTTTTCCTAAAATGTACCTTAAAGCATTGCTTTTGAAAACATGTTTTTCATAATTTTGTATGTTACGGTGCACAACTGTTTTGCTGAACAAAATTTATATCGGCTATCTTTAAATTGGTAAGGTATCGTAGGGTATTGGCTAAGGTATCGTAAAGTATTATCCCAACTAAATCAGACTAAATACATCCAAATCTCTGACTAGGTAAAAATAAAATTTCGCGAATTGCCTACCGCGGTTCTCCTAAAAGATCGTACAACGCGGCGCGTAGACCGCTTAGTCTGTCCATCGAGAAGATCCATGACAGTGACGGTTGTGTCTGTCAATTTCAGTTCACAACGAAATTGTATTTTCTGTAATTTATTGGATATAGCCTCTTGAAGGTATTTTAATGCACCTACTTATTAGCTAAGATTGATAACGTTGCATTATATTTAAAATAAATGGTTTTTGGGAAGACGGTAGTATAATGTCTAGTTCATCGGATGAAAGGGTAAATTAACATCAACGAAAGAAACTATAGTTGATTTTGAGTAATTCGTGGGAAATTTTAGAAAAAACGGGAAATTTTGACTGTCTTCGTGGAAAATTCTATTTCAGGTAGTTGGCAACACTGACTTCCGCATAAATTAAAAAACCCTTTAAAGAAACAATATCCTTAAATCATGGATTTTGAAATCATGTTCATAATTTTATATGTTACGATACACAATTTTTTTTATGAAAAAAATTATATCGCCGCTTTTGAAAACATATTTTTCATAATTTTGTATGTTACTATGTGCAACTGTTTTGCTGCACAAAATCTATATTGACTATCTTTAAATTGTATTATTTACCTTTAGCATCAGCAAAGATATTTTTGCAACATTAGTTTCGCATATATTAGAAGAAAAAATATCTTTAGATCATTGTTTTTGAAAAAATGCTTTAAAAACAATTATTATATTATTGTATTGGTCTATTAACTAAGTTAGTAACATTTGTAATTAATAATAGGATATTGATATATTATATGCAAAAAACGATGGGCGACAAAATGAATTGTTTTGTTACGAATTGCTACACACCTTTCTATTGACAGTTTGTTAAAAATATTTAAAATTAACAAAGAATGACGTATGAGCGACAACTATTTTTATAATCCAGTATCATTGTTAACGAGATTATACCTTAGTAAAAATGTCGTATTAAAATTAATACGAACCTTTCATGGTCTCATCAAATTTCCTTTCAGCCTCAAATTTATCTTTAACTAAGTCATCGATATCGTCTTTCAAATGGCCTTGCTGGAACATCCAGTTTCTCATGTTTTCGATAACTTCACAAGGAAATTTGCTAGAGTTCTCTTGCATATATCTATATACGTATAAATCTGCGCCTGTTATAATAAATCTATAAAGACACATAGATTTTATATTTTATAGTTATAAATTAAATTTTAAGTACAGGGTGAGTCAACAATCAAGTTCATTATGTCGTCTCTCTAGATCATTTACAATCTAAGCGTACAGTTTAAGTCTGTCTATAGGCTTGGTGCATTCTCTGCCGGTGCTGCCACCATCGGAGAATATTGTAAACAATCTATATACAGGGTGGCGCACCTCATTCACCTCGGTTGATTATACGAAAACGGAAAAATGTAGAAACAAAATATTTTATGAGTATATGTAGGAAGGCAATGTGCATAATTTAAAATTATTTTGAAATGTACAGAGTGTGTCAGACCTAAGATCCATACCAAAGTTATATTTTTTCTTATTGAACACACACACCCTGTATTTTATTTGATTTTTGGATTCTTGGGCATAAAATAAGGCATGTATTATAAAGCTTTAATATGTTTAAATGCTTTGGTTTTTGAGATATTTAAAGATATTTAAATATTCATGCTATAATAAAAAGGTTTGTCAACACCCTGTAAATTACTTTTCAGAGTTAATTCTTGTGCTGACTTGTGAAGCCAGTGAAATAAACTTTACTAAAATAATGTATTGCTTTCTTAAATGTATACAGGGGTATCAAAAATTGCTGGTCTGTTTTAAATATTTATTTTACACAAAAACTTCGTTATTTTAAATACAAAACTATGTATTTTTTTGAATAAGTCGAAGCAGATTTTAATGCTCTTTGAAACTATATTAGGGTTTCCTATACCTGGCTCAGATTTTAAATAAAAAGCGATTTTTTTTCAATAAAATGGCAATCAAGATGGCTGGTGTCGCCATGGCAATTTGCTAGTGACAGTTAGTAGCTATTTTCAAAAGCGACATTAGTTTATGGACTTTATTTAACGGTTTACTTTTATTTAATTTACCTACAATAGTTTAATAAGTAAGTATTTATTATTTTATCAAGAAAAATAAAGAAGTAGCTCTTTGATTTATATTACGATGACTTGTAGATATATTAGTTTTTCTATAAAAGAGCCAATTAGGGAAATTTTATTTTCTTCACTTCCAATGACAGGTTTCTGCCTAATAGGTTTCTCATATACCACACTATCAGCTTTGCGAAATAGGAAAAGTAGTTTTTCAAAGGAACGCTTGTCAAGAAAATTCCTATTTGGACATCTTTGAGCATAAACCCTTCAGGCCAACAAGCAATTGTCCTCACAAAATAAAATCACTAGTAACATATTCATTCCTTCCGACAGCAGATACTGCTTCATTTTTCTTGATAAAATGATGAATACTTACTTATATTAACCTTATTGTAGGTAAATTAAATAAAAATAAGCTGTTATAAATTTAAATAAAGTCCACAAAGTAATGTCGATTTTGAAAATAGCTACTAAGTGTCACTAGAAAATTGCCATGGCAACACCAGCCATCTTGATTACAATTTTATTGAAAAATCGCTTTTTATTCAAAATCTGAGCCAGATAGATATAGGAAACCATAATATAGTTTGAAAGAGCATTTAAATCCGCTTCGACTTATTCAAAAATTACATAGTGTTGTATTTAAAATAATGAAGTTTTTATGTAAAATAAATATTTAAAATAGACCAGCAATTTTTGATACCCCTGTATACATTTAAAAAAGCAATAATTTTTTTTTAGTAAAGTTTATTTCACTGGCTTCAAAGTCAGCACAAGAATTAACTCACTAACTAAAGTAATGTACAGGGTGTTGACAAACTTTTTTATTATAGCATGCATATTTAAATATCTTCAAATATCTCAAAAACTAAAGCTTTTAAACATATTAAACCCTTATAATAAATTCTTTATTTTATGTCCAAGAATCCAAAAATCAAATAAAATACAGGGTGTTCCGTAAGAAAAAATATAACTTTGGTATAGATCTTAGTTCTGACACACCTTGTATATTACAGTTGAGGGTTGGAACCTTTGGTGTTAAACAGCAAAATAAAAACACTAAATCACCACAATACACCAAAACACTTTTACTTTTACACTGGACGCGCGTTTCGCTAACCATGTTAGCATCATCACCAGATGATTATAAACTAAAGTATAATCTACAAGTTGAGCGTTTATATACTCGCCCAGTGGGCACCGAGTGGGCGTGGCAAAAACTAGCCAACCGAGTCAGAGACTGAACATTGAGCTTACATCGTTATGTATGAAACAAAATTGTTTTCAATTTAATAACAACTTTTTTGAACAGCGGGAAGGTACAGCAATGGGTAATCCATTGTCTCCATTTTTGGCTAATTTATTCATGAGCAGGTTTGAAGTGGAGGCTAAGAATCAGTTTGAGTATTTTCCAAGAGTTTAGTTTAGGTATGTGGATGATATTTTTGCTGTTTTTGACACACATTCAGACACCATAGATAATTTTATTTCTAAGTTAAATAATCGTTTTCCTTCCATTAAATTTACTCATGAAATTGAGAACAACGACAGATTACCATTTCTAGATGTATTAGTTATTAGAAATGCTAATAATTGCCTGGAATTTGATATCTATAGGAAAAATACGACCACACGCAGATATAGTCCTAATGAATCACATCATAGTGTTGGCTAGTTTAGTTCTTGGCATAAAATGGCTAGTTTAAATTTCTTAGTTCATAGATTACTTAGTTTCCCACTTTCCAACGAAAGATATGAAATAGAAAGAGATTACATTAGGAATGTAGCTGAGTGTAATGGATATTCTCCTTCACTAGTTGATAAATTATTTAGAAAACGTAGGTATAGGTTAATGATTTCTGAAAATTCGACTTTTCAAGTGGAGAAAGATACGTCTAAATATTTTTCGATACCGTTTGATAGAGAGTTAACCCGTGGTCTAAAAGGAATTTTTTAAGAATGTCAATTATAAACTTGTGTATAGTGCTAATAATAAATTACAACAATTATTAGGTAATCCAAAGGATAAAACATCTCCACTGGAATGGTCGGGTATTTATGAAATTTCTTGTAAAGATTGTAATCAGAAATATGTTGGGCAAACTAGAAGATCAATATTAACTAGATTTAAAGAACATTTAGCTCAGATAAGATATGGTAGACCGGATAAATCTTGCGTTGCCGAACATATTGTTGATAAAGAACATTGTATAGATCTTAATAATTTAAAATTAATTAAACAAGTCTCAAATTACAGGCAATTAGATGCATATGAAAGCATCAGAATTAATAAATGTAAAGATAGTATGAACAGAGACAACGGTCCAATTCCTTCAAGTTCTTTGTTCCTACTACTCTAGTGGCGGAAATCTAACTGTTACGCTCAGTTGGCTCTGACTCGGTTTTCTAGTTTTTGCCACGCCCACTCGGTGCCCACTGGGCGAGTATATAAACGCTCAACTTGTAGATTGTACTTTAGTTTATAATCATCTGCTGATGATGCTAACATGGTTAGCGAAACGCGCGTCCAGTGTAAAAGTAAAAGTGTTTTGGTGTATTGTGGTGATTTAGTGTTTTTATTTTACACCTTGTATATTTCAAAATAATTTGAAATTATGCACATTACCTCTCTACATATAGCCATAAAATATTTTGTTTTTACATCTTTCCGTTTTCGTATAATCAACCGAGGCGAATGAGGTGCGCCACCCTGTATACAAATACACTACAGGTAAATAGCGAGTATACAAAAAATTTATTATTTAATTATTCTAAAAATGTTAGGGAGTATAATTTGTGAAAATTCTAAAAATAAAAATAAAAAAGTAACTATTTTGATATCTTCAGAAGGTCCAAATTTGTATTATAATTTATTATTTCAGTTAAAAACACTTTTTAGATGAATTCAACTATGGTAGCGAGCATTATAGTTTTAGTCACCGGTTTTGCTAGTGAGGCATAATTGGGGCTATTTCGGCTATAACGAAATTTCTTAAATATACATAATTATAATTTTAGAATATGTTCATAAAACATTTAATCACTAGTTGATTAAAAAAAGTATACCATTAATATTGCAAATTATATTTTATCCTCTCATAGTATATGTCTATTTAATTTTTTGATTATGTAACGAGCACTTTGTTTACTAACTTGTTTCGTAGAACTGCTTGAATTCATTATTGCTTTTGATCAAATCGGTGTAAGAAACTATAAGAAGCTATAAAACGTTGCTTTGGGAGAGTTGAATTTCCGAAAAAATTGACTTATTGAATGTTATTACACCTAACAACGCCCTAATTACGCTCTCCTTTACGCGTTAACATTTTTTAGGCAATTTTATTAACATTAGAAATTGTGACAACACAACACTACGCGACGCCTAGTTCGAATTCTTTTTGACTTATTTTTTACTATCCGAAACAGCGTTATATCACACAAACCGCGTACATGAGTATTTTATAGTTTCAATTACTGCGCTAGCAAAAAACCAAAATACATAAATATTATGACAAAACCACGATTCCAATATTATTCTAATGCAGTCAACATGACGGCGCCGGCGTCATAATATATATATTGCTAATTTCAGATTTTTTCCGTTGAAGCGCTGCGGTCGGAATTTGTTGAAATCAACTGAAATGCACCAAGCCTATAGCGTGTACGTTGAAAACTAAAGATATTTTTACCTCTGTGAATATACTACTATGAGAGCACCAATATAAAAATCTACCGGAGTGTACAAGTCAGGATTTAATGGATCTGATCCTGGCTTTACAAGAAGCGTGCTGCGTAGATATTTTCCTCCAATTATTCCAGAATTTCGAATCGGAGGTTCTTGAATCATACAGGAACCGTCTGCCAAAGAGTACGATAAAATAAATCGACGAACTGTATCTTCTGGATGTACTGCGTCCATGTGCATTTCATATCTAAATAATAAAAGTGATGTAAAATTAAAAGGAATTTTCGACTCTCAATTTTAAGATGAATGTATCATCTTCAATAAAACCCGAACAGGTGAAAAAACAGATAGTTATCAAGCTAAAAATCATATTTTCCCAATTTTTATTAAATACTGAGATATTTGCATGGGAGCGTAGCTTAATCAGGTGCACCTGCTATTAAGAGAGTGCTAAACATTAAATTCCTATACGGTCGTGAATATCCGAATTAAATTTTATACAGGGTTGTTCACCACATACGATACGGAGTATTGCAGCTAAACGATTAGATTTTTACAAATTGTAAGTTTTGGGTTTGTTGAAGGACTATTAGAGCTATAAGTAAAAAAATAAGTAAAAAATATTATAGTTGTATTTTTTTAAATGGAACACCCTGTATATTATAGCATTTTTCGATTCTGCGATTAAAATAAAGGTAAGTTTGATTAAGGTTTATCACACTTAAACCATACCGTTTTTGAAATATTTTCAATTTTATGAAATTGCAGTAAAAATTTTAAGGCTTTATTTCTCCAAGGGTATCAAAGTTTTTAATACTAAATATTTACTGAAGATTATTTATTGATCAGATATTGTGTTGCAATAATAAAAATTCAACTACCTTATACAGAGTGTCCAAAAATTTGTATTAAATAATTACTAGCTTTAAACGGCAATAACTTCTTTAATTTAAATGGAACACCCTGTATATTTTACGTGAATCATATGCACAATTTAATGGTCTATCAAATTATATTATACCATTTTTTACGCATCTCTTCAACGTTTTCTTATAATTTATATTAAATCCACATTTATTTAGAATACTTTATTAATTAAAACAATTTAAAAGTATGTAATTAACTAATTTTTGATCGGAAATAATGGTAGTATCTTCCCCTAGGAGATGCAAGACCTTGTCGTTGGTGGGGAAGCTTCTGGTCAAGTGCTGAGGGGAATCACCTCTAGCACTTGGCTTGGTCTAAGAAGCATCTCACTCATTGTCTTGTCTCTGGCTGTAGTGGCCCGGGAATTGCACCAAGACATTTAAACCAGGCACCTTCTACTGTCTGTGGTCAAGTCTCGCGGGTAGAGGGTGTGGGGGGGTCTTGGCTTAACCGCCTGGACCAAGAGAAGACAACCTCACCAAAAACCTAAATCCTACGATGGCGGGGCCAAGTCAAAGGGATGCGTGGCTAGATAGAGGACTAGCCATTACTGGTCTCAACCTTGGGGCATCAGGGGGCACCCCATTGTATTTACCCCTTACTTCTACATGCGGGGCTCTGTAGAAGTGGACTGACTATCCCTAGCGACTCGTGGGAACACTATGAGATCTAATAATAACAATAATAAAAACACCACCGGAGAAGCTGTGGGGAAACCCCCTAGCGACACTGGGAACAGGAACAATGAAAGTTCCAAGGGGCCAAACCCCCCAAAGAGAACTACAGGAGGGGTGGCTGACACTTGCGCGGGACCATCCTGCGCTACTGGCACTCAAGCTACCACCTCCTTTAGCAAGGGCCGGGAGCTTACCTCTAAACCCAACAGGCGACACAGACTACCGTTTCGTCTACCTGGCCTGGGTCAACCAGGCGGGTTGGACGATCCGCTGAGAGTGGGTCTTAGCGGAGCAGAAGCACGGAGATACCTCCGACTGCTCCACGCAGGACTTGCTCCAGAGGAAGCAAAAGAGAAATTACTCCTCCAAAAAGGGGAGGGTAAAGGAACCAAGAAACAGGCTGGCGCATCTCCACCAAAGGGCAAAAGAGGGAGCGAAAACCTTTCACCTCTGCTCCGGCAAGAAGAAAAAAAAGCCAGGATGAAAAGACGTCCAACACCGAGAGGCAAGCAGGGACATATCACCAGCTTTGCCTCTATTGCTGGACAAGTGAAAATGGCGGTGCTACCAAAGGATTACCCAGAGGTTATACTGACCACCGACCAGCAAACGGCTCTAGAAGAGGCGATACTGGACGAAGTAGTGGCGATTGGAGAGCAACACAACGACCGACAAAATGTGGGTCAAATGCGATTTGCGGGGATTCACTTTCGGGTGGGCATGCTCCTCATAGACTGTGTATCTCCAGAATCGGCGGATTGGTTGATAGAAACGACACCTAAACTTAAGAATTGGCAGGGACCGGGACTGGTTGCTCTGAAGGGAGAAAACATCCCTAAGGAGGCGACCATCACGGTCTTTTTGCCGAGGAGCAAAGGGAAAGACACCACCTACCTGCTGAACCTTATCCTGGGTCAGAACTCCGATGTAAGGACGTCGTGTTGGCGAATCATCAACTCGAGGGAGGAGGGCCACGGCCAAGTCCTCACAATAGGAATTGACCTCAAATCCAAGGAGGCAATAGAGAAAGAGGGATACATTCTTTATTATAGATTCGGGACAACACCGGTATCAGGTCTAAGAAGAGACCAAGCTAAACAGGTAGAGAAAATGGAGACAGATCCTCCAGCCTCTACCTCACAGGTACCTCAGCCGGAGACAAGCTCCTCGACTGTGCACGGAGGACTGAGCCCCAACCAAAGTGGAAGGGTGTAGACCACATCAATTAATGTATAGGCATTATAGGCGGAATTGACCGAATCCTTCCAAAAACAGCCATCTATCAAGCAAATGCGCGTCAGCGTCGCTTTCTAGATATCCGCGCTAATAAAATGATATATCCGGAAGATCTTACAATTGCGATTCAAATTAATTTCGTAAACGAATTCAATTTCGAAATAAATTCGGCCTGTCCCTTACTTTCTGCCATATAGAATTATACATCCGGCCGTATGTTTGGTTGCCTAAAAGGATTACTTTACATGTGCACTTTGAATATTTAAATAAGTCAGTGGCGGGGTGTTGTCATAAAGTATTCCATAAAAGTTATAAAAAAAAGATTCAATTTAGTTAACTACTCGTCAATAATAATGTATACCAAAGTGTTTTTTGCACTAGTGAAAAAAATAAGTTATTTTTTGCACTAGCGTAATATTTCGAAAAAAAAGCAAATTTTGTGCAAAAAAATGCTGCCTAATTCCATTATAGTATATTTTAAACAAAAATATTTCAGATAAAAGTTGTAGATAATCATATCCTTAGAATGTGTTCTCCGTTTTTTTTTCTAAACCCTGTAATTTTTGACATAATATGACAAATATGTAGATACGTTTTTTTTTTAAATAGAAACTATAGTTAGCCATGACTCCATTAAAAGCGCAATTTCTAAGCTTTTGGGCGATATAATCTTTTTTACAAAATTTCACTTTCATTACTTATGTCAAACTGTCACGTCCAGACACAAATATTGTATAAAAAGCATATTGTTACGGATTCCGTGGGTCCACTATTTAAACTCACGATAAAATACTTAACGAATTTGTTTGTTTCACTCTGTACACAACTTATACTATTTACAACACAACTTATGCAACTACTATTACTCTAACGGTATTTCGCGGTATTTTCTAACTTCAGACTTCAAACTTCAAACTTTTAAACTTTACTTTTAAACTTGTCCAACTGTCAAAGCGCGGGCCTTATATACCCCCTGGCGGTTGTTTCTAGATTTTTCTAAAGAATTCTATAATTTTCTTTACTTTCTGGCGAATGCGCCAGGCACGCCGCGACTTTTTAGCAGTATGCAGTTATGCAACCAGTAATACACCTTGACATTGCCCCCTTCTCAAATTTGATCGTCCCGATCAAGGTTTCCTGTCTGGTATCTCTTCAATCGATCCAGATGAACTACTTTCATCTTACTTCTAGGGCTGCGTTGAATCCGGTACACAACATCATTTATCCTCTTGATGACTGTATAAGGACCTTCCCATGCTGGAGTTAACTTTGGGGATCATCCTTTCTTGCGCTGTGGGTTATACAACCATACCCTATCGTCTTGTTGAAATCCCGTAGAATTAGCTCTGAGGTCGTAACGAGCTTTCATCCGGTCACCTGGCTAGCGTAATCTTACTTCTCACGGCCTTATGAATTCCCAATAATCTTTCCTTCCTAACGATTCTTTCGAACGACAGTCCAACGTTATCTTGTTCCATTTTTCCTCCAGATCGAGTACTTGGTCCTTGTCTAGCTGCGCAAATCTTACAACGTTGACACCATTTCTTAACATCTTCACAATAATCCACCCAGTAAAAACGGTCTCTCAGCTTGTTCAAGGTCTTGTTTACCCCAAGATGGGCTCCAGTTTTACCACCGTGAATTTCTTCCAATATATGGGTAACTTTCTTCCTTGGTACCAGTAACTGAGTTGTTACTGTGCTGCCATCCGCACTTTCCCACGTGCGCTTTAACAATCCATTCTCAATAACCAGTGAATTCCACTGAGCCCAGAGAGCTTTGAAAACGAGCCCTCTGTCCGCAATATCCTGCCACGGTGGTCTCTCGCCGTTACCTTCCTTGATGAGCCGTAGTATTGTTCCGATGTCTGGATCTTCCATTTGATCTTTCCTCAATTGTGTCGTCGTCCACTGTTCATCGGTTCCAAGTTTAAAACTCCTTATCATGACAGTGCCTTCACGTTGTTCCGTTTTACAGCAGTGCTTACAATCGGTTTGACAGGGTCTTCTGGATAAACCATCTGCGTTACTATGCATTTTTCCAGCACGATGTTGGATGGTAAAGTGATACTGTTGGAGCTTCTCGAGCCATCGTGCTATTTGACCTTCAGGTTGTTTCATCTCCATAAGCCACTTGAGAGCTGCATGATCTGTCCTAATTAAAAATTCTTGGCCGTACAGATATTTATGAAAATGATCAACTGCCTTCATAATTGCTAGCAGCTCCTTCCGGGTAACGCAGTAATTCCTTTCTGGTTTGGATAGAACTCGACTGTAATATTCTATCACTCGTTCTTCGCCATCTTGCACTTGTGATAGCACTGCACCTATGCCGATATTGCTGGCGTCGGTATCCAGGATATACCTCCCTTTGTTGTTGCGGGTAGGCTAGAATAGGACTTGAACATAAAGCCGCCTTAAGTCTTCCAAAGGCTACATCACAATCGGTGT